GGATGGTGGTTGGCTGGTGGTTGGATGGCGGTTGGATGGTGGTTGGATTGTGGTCGGATGGTGGTTGGCTGGTGGTTGGATGGCGGTTGGATGGTGGTTGGATTGTGGTAGGATGGTGGTTGGCTGGTGGTTGGATGGCGGTTGGATGGTGGTTGGATGGTGGTTGGATTTTCTGCTAACATCTTCTCTGTGGATTTAGGTTCCGTATAACATCACAGGTTGGCTGGATAAGAACAGAGATCCTCTGAATGAGACGGTGGTCACTTTGTTCCAGAAATCATCCAATAAGCTCATGGCTGCGCTTTATGAGACCTACCTGTGCTCTGAAACAGGTAAGTCACTGAATGACCATCTAACCAGCGGCCACTGACCCAGCCAGCAACCATTGCCCTGGTATCTGTTATGACAGCTGCAGACCACAAGGGGGAGACCAAACAGAGGAGGAGAAAGGCTGCATCTTTCCAGACTGTTTCACAGATTCACAAGGTGAGTGAACTCAAAGGATAAAATCTAACGAGATAATTCCGTTGTATCTTTTCTGGTGTCATGTCACCAGGATGCTCAGAACATGGCTGTCGGGTTTATTTATCTTGCTGGCAGTTTTTCTACCAGGGATAAAATATTTTCTAATTTTTGACACAATCTCTAAACATTCCAGACATGTCCCGTTTTATTGACTGATGTCGTCTGTAAAGCTTACCCTGTAGAACGCACCATGGAGTCTGAAGGAGGAGGGTCTTGAGGAGTCAGGAAGCTGAGGCAGAGGCATTTCTTGCAAGGAAAAATGTTCAAATTTATTTAACGTCCTCAGACGGGGAGATAGAGCTCAGGGAAGATCTGATTAGCAGTTCTCTAAACTGGTGAGAATCTGTGCTAATAAAAGCTTTGATGTATAGATCTGATCCTCAGCGTTTCTCACCGATAGAAGATTAAACCTCGTCTGCAGGGACAGAAACTCTGCAGAAGGAGACGTTTGTAGCCCTAGAATCTCTTTTGGTCTTTCCTTAAGTCTGGTCTGATCACTATACTCTGCTTAGAGCCAAACCTGACCTGGTAAATATGCCTTCAGTGACTCTCAGACAGAGAGGACATTCCAGGGCCATGCCTGGATCAAAGGCCAACTGTTCCCTACAACGGAAAAATAAATGAAGCTTTTTTTATCAGAATAGCTGCCCTCAGGCTGTGAGTGGAAATTAGAAGGAAAAGTTAGTTTTTCTGCTCAGATGTGCCTCCTGAAGAAATGTACTATTTATATGAAGCAGTTTCAGGTGTGTAAATACAGTTTTTACACTGATTCAGTGACCTGACCTCCCAGCTCACCAAGTTTCCCCTCTGAGAATATTGGTATCAGTCATAAGAGGGTGAAAACGTTATGACTGAGGAGCCGACAGATGTCAGATGTTTTTACACACAGATGTGTGTGAAAACCCAGGCTCAATCAATGGAAGCAACATCTGCATGTTCATTTAGAAAAATCTAGATCCAATTAGACTAAGGCCTGGAAAAGCATTTTCCTGCTGCTCCCGCCCCCCTCCCCCCCTGCCTGTCCCTGCCTTGCTGTGTCTTGTCTTTTCTGAAGTCCAAGCGCTTCTGGGCCCTTTGGACCAGTGAGGTGGTGTTTCCAGTCCAGGTGAGGGTGTCTGTGATGAATGACCACCTCTACAGCTGAGCTGTTGATGAGCAGTGGAGCGTGGTTAGGCCGCTTCTTCCTGAAGTCTTGAACGCCATCTTCAGAGTTCCAGCATCAATCTCTGGGATGATTGGCAGGCGTTCGGACCTGAGGAGACAGTGGAAGTCGTGCTGGAGGCGGTGCTGGTTTGGCTGACTCTGCAAACGTATATTTATGCAGATCTGCTGCTATCTGCAGTCGGTGTATTTAACTTTAATATGTTCCAAACAGGGTTTTGCCTATTAACTTAATTATTAAGTTAAAATAAAACATGCGCTTTTGGAACCCTTGTTTTATAAAATAAGAACATGGGCTCCTAATTGGGAGGGGCAGTGATGGCCTAGTGGTTAGAGCATAGAGCTTGGAATCCAAAAGATCTGAGTTCAACTCCCACAGACTGCCACTCTGAGGCCTTGAGCAAGACCCTTAACACCACACTGCTCCCCAGGCACCCACAATGGCAGCCCACTGCTCCCCAAGGGAATTGGTTAAATGCAAAGTTAAATTCCTCCATTGTGAGGTCATTAAAGTTCAATTATCAATTGTTCTTAAAACGATAGTTGGATGAACAGCCGAGTCTGACAGGAGGACTGACAGGAAGTCCCTCCCCATGAAACAAAACCATCACTGTTTGTCTTTCGCAGGAGAACCTGAACAAGCTGATGGCGAATCTCCGCAGCACTAAGCCTCACTTTGTTCGCTGCATCATCCCCAACGAGAGCAAGAGTCCAGGTATACGAGTCAGACTTGTGTGTTTTATCCCCGGCTAGTCAGATCATTTTGACGGGTTCTGGTGTCTGCTTCCCAGGGGTAATGGATCCTTTCCTGGTCCTCCATCAGCTGAGGTGTAACGGAGTCCTGGAGGGGATTCGGATTTGCAGGATAGGCTTTCCAAACCGGATCATTTATGCTGAATTCAGACAGCGGTGAGTTCCCAAGCCAACATGGACTTAAGGTTTGGATCCAGTTCCTGGGATCTGGACCAACTTGATATTGGTGGAAGCAGCTTTCTGACGAACGTTTTCCATCTCTGAACGTTGATCCAACCAAGCTGTTATTCGGACACTCCGGAGTGTCTCAGGCCTCCCCCAGAGGGTGTACCACCCCCACCCCCCCTTCTTGCCCCCTGCCGCACCTCGGCTGAGACATTCCTGAGGTGAGACGTCTGATCCAGTCCTCATACAGACTGTCTGGTTCACTGGGACAACCAGAACCCCCACCATCCAGGAGAACCGAGGACTGGCCGGTACCCTTCAACCAGCTTTTATTGTCATTCCATCTGTACAAAGCAACGATTAGCAGATAACCCATCCCCTTGGGGAGCAGTGTGGGTTAAGTGTTTTGCTCCGGAACCCAGAGTGGCAGTCTGTGGGAGTGGGGCTTGAACTCAGAACCTCTGGAACCCAAGGGCATTGCCCTAGACACTAGGCCGCCACTCCCCCTTCTGGACCTGAGGTGGTCCTCCACAGAGACGGGGTTCAGATGAAGGCCCAGCAGGGAGGAGCTGAAAGGTCCAAAATCAGGTTTGCAGGAAGGATCATTAGAGCTGCGCCTCCCACAGTCCAGGACCTGTCCGGGTCAAAGGTCAGGGACAGCTCTGCAGACCCCACGCGTACTGCTGCTGTTGATAGGATGTGGAAACCAGCAGCAACCTTACACCTAATCAGGCTGCAGCTCTAATGGGATCTCTGCTCCCAGCCGTGGTGTTGCCATGGAGACATTGTTTCTACTGGTCTGTGGTTTAATCCTGATGGATTTACTGGCTAAAACCTGGACATGATGACCGACAGAAGGACGATCCCTCTCCGTTTGTTAAAGGAATCTGTTTTTTCTGTCAGATATCGGATCCTGAACCCGTCTGCCGTCCCAGAGGACTCCTATATGGACAGCAGGAGGGCTACAGAAAAGCTACTGGGCTCTATGGACATCGATCACACCCAGTACAAGTTTGGACAAACAAAGGTACGATGATCTTGCTGGATTCTGACGGATCAAATGTTTAATGACTCGGCCTTGACTGCCTGTTCTTCAGGTTTTCTTTAAGGCTGGTTTGTTGGGACAGCTGGAGGACATGAGGGACAGCCGTCTGTCCCACATCATCACCGCTGTCCAGGCCCTGTGCCGAGGGAAGCTAATGAGGTCGGAGCTGCAGGAGCTGAGGATGAAAAGGTCAATATGGCCGCCATCGAGCTTGGTCTCCACATGCTTCCTGATCCTGTTGGTCGTTAAGCGAACTCCTCTGCTGAAAGCATTCAGGTTCTGCAGCGCCGCTTGGTCACTGGTTTGGGTTTTTAATGGTGTGTTTGGTTTGTGCTTCTCCTGTCAGGGATGCTTCCATGGTCCTCCAGTTCAACATCAGGGCCTTCTTCTCTGTGCGGACTTGGCCCTGGATGATGCTGTTCTATAAGCTCCGCCCACTGCTGAAGAGTGCCCAGGTGGAGAAGGAACTGGCCGCTCTGAAAGAGGACTTTGCTAAGCTGAAGGAGGCCTTTGAAAGGTCAGCTGACCGTCCCCCATTGGATGGGAACCTGTGGAGAATGTTTTCCTGAGGTTCTCTTTGGCTCCTCCCCCTCAGGTCGGAGACGAAGCGCCAGGTAGCGGAGCAGCTGCAGGTGGCGATGGTCCAGGAGAAGAGGGATCTGGCTCTGCAGCTTCACGCTGTAAGAAACGCTACAGCATCAGTTCCATTTCATTGATCAACTAGAAACAGACAGACAGGTCAAAGGTCATCTCATGCCCATGCAGCAGTCTGCTGTGTTTGCCCCTCAGATCCCTGAACGCCTCGCCCCTCCAGCTACTACATTATGGAGATTTTAACTAATCTGCAGAAAAATCTTTGAAAATAAGTCAAGGATCAACAAAAGTCTGAAGGAAAATATTTAAACAGTCTTTTATAGTCGTTGAAAACTTCAAGGTTTGATGTTTGATTTAGGGGTTTTCAACAATAAAACAGTAATGCTACGTTCACACCAGATGCACTTTAAGCAGCATGAGCTGCTTTACATGCGCAGTCAATGGTTGACGCGCATCAAGGCGCAACAAAAGGTCCTGCAGCGCCTCCTGAGCCACAGGGCGCATTTCAAAGGCAGCAGCTGCTGGAGTTGGAAAAATTGACCTTTTCTGTTGGGATTCCCAGTGACGGCGCGAATGGGGGGGGGGGTCTGACACAGAAATAATCTCTGAAGGCAGGATGGTAATCTGGATGAACTGACTGCACAGACCATGTTTTCAGGAGGACTTTCTCTCTTCAACATAGATTCTAACTACTTTCTACCCGCTGATCACAGCTAATATAGCAAAGCTGCTCTCTGGCATCGAACTCAGGAGCAGCAGAAGCATCTGGACTCACTTTACTGGACGTCTGACCTTAATGTGGATCAGATGAAGCAGCAGAAGCTTCTTTGTGAATGTAGCATTGTAAAATCTGGATATCCAAATTTTAAGTTTGTTGTCATCTGCATTTTGAATTCTGATGTTTATTAATCTTCTGTGCAGTAAACAGTTTTCATTATACACTCCTCATAGAATCATCCAACATCATCTAAAGTATAACTGACCTCTAATGTCTCTTATTATACTCGCTTCTTCACTTCTTGAACCGGATCTCATTCTTTTGTTCTGTTTCAAGCATTATTTGTTAGTTTCCTCAAAAAAATAACTTCCTCATATATGGGGGCAAATACATGTTGCTTTCACTTTTAGGATATTAGAGTTTTATTTAAAATCCAAGGAACATTTTGTACAAAAATCTAAATTGTTAAGCAAATAACTAATCCTTATGCTGGGGAAGAGGACGTCCCACTTCAATAAACATCCTGAATTATTGTGATTCCAGTCTGAATGCTGATTCCTTAGTTTTACTAAACGTTTTTACGGAGACACATCTAGTTAACTATTGAAGGATTTATAGAATCTATAATTTATGGAAATGTATTGTCTTTAGATACTGCATAGGCTTCTGTAGATTTGATCCTTTTTAAATGATTTTATGTTGTAGACACTTTCAAGTAAATTTTTCTGATGTATTTACTTTTAGCAGCTTCCTTTGCTTCCTATAATAGTTGTATCCCATATAGTTTACAGGTAAACATGTTCTGGCCAATGCACCAATGGTGGAAGCTCATTTGTAGAATTCCCTTTTGAAAGAAAGAAGGACACTTGAAACATGATTAACATCATTTTATCATCCAGAGGGGGGGAAACATTTATTTAAATTCTGAATTCCTACAGCAGTCTTTAACACTTCATAAGTTTAGCGCTACATCATCAGACATCTCAGTTTCCCCCCAACTCTCATTTCATCTCAGGCTGTTTTATCGTCTCAATATCGCTTTAAAAATGCACAGGAGTATGATGTCGAAAGCTTCCTGGAATTCACGTTTGCTGGTCGAAGCCAGAGGTTCCTCTGACACTGGAAAAATGTTTATACAGACGTTCTCTGTTTAAGCCAAAACCTGTTACTATATCCTCTAACTGCGTACGAATCGGCCATTAGAGACCTAATTATTGCTCAGACTCATACTTGACCTTCAGCATGTACTGCTAGGATTATAAGGCCACGAATAAGGATATATAAGGCAGTACAGCTGCTTCTATATTTGGCCAGCCAGAATTCTACACAGGAAATTAGCTATAAAAATAATAAGAAAGAAATGACTGAGCTCTGGAGACAGAGCTTCTTCTCACTGCTACTAATGGGATCCTGAAGCTTTTCCATTCAGTCTGTGGGAAACAGAGAGAGAAGGTTTGAAAGCAAGGCTTCGACTTTATGGGTCACACTGAATGTTTGGGGTTAGAATCACCCGAACCCAAAACATGATGAAGAAAAGCCGAGGTTCAGATATGAACCCAGCCATTGAAAAATATTCCCTCCCTCAAGGATTAGAAACTGAAACCATGTTTTGAAAATGTGAGCCACTGAAGAAACCAATCAGATAGAACATCATGACAGCATGAAGTAGGCGAATGAAGCAGCTGGGAGAACTGGAACTGCTGTTGGACTGAGATGATCTGCTTTAAGGCAGAAGATCCTGCAGGAAGATGTCCTGCAGACCGCCATGGGGTGGTCAGGTGTAGACTGACCTTCTGTTCACTCCTGTTATCTTTGTCAGATCTTCATGAACCGTCTTATCCCAAATCATTGCTCGTATTCTTACTGCAGATGGACGTCATGCTAACGCTTGGTTCTTTGCTCCGGTTCTGAGCGGTGATGCTGTGGGCTGGGCTGCTGATGCAGACCGGGGAGAGTTTATTTTCACAGAGCCCAGGTCGATCCTCTGACCTTCTGGAAATGAAGCTGCTGCACTGAGGCAGAACCTTTAACCCCCTCAGGGTAGCAGGAGACCTGCTGGTCGGAAGAACATCACCTTTTATGGACATTAGTGGACGTATCTTTCTATTCCATCCAGGAGCAGGACAACCTGATGGACGCAGAGGAGCGCTGCAACCAGCTCATCCAATCTAAAGTCTCCCTGGAGTCAAAGCTGAAGGAGATGCAGGAGCGTTTGGAGGATGAGGAGGAGGTGAGTGCCAGCCTGACATCCAGGAAGCGTCAGCTGGAGGAGGAGGTGCTGATGCTGAAGAGAGACGTGGACGACCTGGAAATGACTCTAGCCAAGGTGGAGAAGGAGCGACACAGTGTAGAGAACAAGGTGTGGGACGACAGAGACAGCTTTACTCGCTGCTACCCCCCCCACCCCCCCGGCTGAAAAACTGCTCCTCTCTTCGCAGGTCAAGAACTTAACCAATGAGATGCGAGTCCTGGATGAATCGGTGGCGTCACTGAGCAGAGAAAAAGCTGCCCTCCTGGAGGCTCACCAGCAGGTCCTGATTGACCTTCAGGCTCAGGAGGACAAGGTCAACATCCTGGCGAAGGTTAAAGCGCGGCTGGAGCAGCAGGTGGAAAACGTAAGAAAAAGTTTTAGTCTAGTCTGATCTCACTGACGAGCTCATCTACGCCGTCGCTGTCATCCATTTACTGCCAGGTAGGAAATGATCCACGCTGCTTCCTTCTGGTAGGTGGAAACGTCTCTAGAGCAGGAGAAGAAGATCCGAGCTGACCTGGAACGTACCAAGAGGAAACTGGAGGGGGACTGGAAGCTCTCCATGGACTCGGTGAAGGACTTGGAGAAGCAGAGGGAAGACATGGAGGACAGATTGAAGAAGTAAGACAAACTCTTTTCTTCCTGTGAAGATAAACATTACAGGAAATGGGTCCAACTTTAATATCTATGATTGGGATTTTATTCTTTCACAGAAAAGACTTTGAGTTGGGTCAGGTCCATGAAAAGCTGGAGGATGAGCAAACTTTGAATGTTCAGCTTCAAAAAAGAATCAAAGAGCTTCAGGTGGGTCAGAGAAGCCGACATCTCCTGATCTTTCCCTGAAAGATATGGCTTCACTCAGGTCTGCGCTTTCCTGCAGACCCGCATTGAGGAGCTGGAGGAAACCCTGGAGGCGGAGCGGGCGTGGCGCGTCAAGGCGGAACGCCAGAGGAACGACGTGGCAAAAGAGCTGGAGGAGCTGGGAGAGAAGCTGGAGGAGGCAGGAGGAGCTTCAGCGGCTCAGATCGCCCTCAACAGGTAGAGAATGAAACAATTAAAAATAGGAAAAAGATCCAGGAGGAGATTTGATTCACAGAACTAAACTGGAGGGTTTGTGTTTTATTGCTCTTTTTATCTATATTTTCTTGGCGGCTTTGGGCTGGGATAGATGGGCAGAGCGTCGGGGGTTCTGATTCACAGCCGTCTGTCTGTCCCTGTGAAACAGGAAGCGGGACGCAGACTTCCAAAAGATGCGGCGGGACCTGGAAGAGGCGGGGCTTCACCACGAGGCGATAGCAGCCGGTCTCAGGAAGAAGCACTCGGACACGGTGGCAGAGCTCAGCGAGCAGATAGACGTCCTGCAGCGAGTCAAACAAAGACTGGAGAAGGAAAAGACAGAGATGCGCCTGGAGGCCGATGACCTGGCGGCTAACGTGGAGCAGCTAAGCCGAGCGAAGGTGAAACTGCAGCACAAACGCTTTAGCAGAATAAAAAAACCAACAAACGTTCTGTCTGAACAGGAGTTCTGATGAAAAATGCTGGAGATCCTTTACTGACACCTCTGTACCTTAGGTGCACAAAGCAGCACTACTGCAGATCCTCCCTCCCAGCTGCTGGTTGACTTTTTCATCTCAAAGATTTCTTGTAAATGCTCCTAGTTTATCGGATCAAGGACAGTTTTTCTCCTGCTACCTTTATTTGCAGGGGTTGTAATCTGTTCAATATTAGTTTTTATCCAGCAGCACATTTATCTGCACAGATGGTGACGATCGTTAACTCAGCATTTTCACGCTTCTTAGAAAAGATTTGCTGGTTTTCCTTAAACCTGCTGCTGTTTTTCCTTTCCTGTTATCTGGTCAGGGTCCCTATCAGCAGTTTTATTCATTGTTACACCTGAACTTCCCCAGCGCAGGATTCTAACGTCCTCTCTGGTGTTCAGGGGGCTCTGGAGAAGATGTGCAGAGTGTATGAAGACCAGCTGAATGAAAGCAGGAGCAGAGCTGATGAGCTGCAGAGGCAACTGGCTGAAGTTTCTGCTCAGAAAGCTCGAGCTCTAACAGAAGCCGGTAAACAGCATTTCTCTTTATTTCCATTCATGTAATAAACTCTCTATGACACTAAATGATGATCTATCAAAGCCTGAAACGGTTCAGATCCTAACCCAGCTTTGAGGAGGACAGGCTGCTGCTCCTCTAGGAATATCTAACAGCTGCTGCCAATCCAGATGTTTCCCTGCAGGAAGAAAAGTCCTGGTTTGGATTCAGGAATTATGGGAAGCAAGCAGAGACCAATAAAGGCAGGAGAGGTGCTATGTCTAGACATGCTATGACATCATCCAGAAAGACCTGGACCACTGATAGCAGATGTAAATCAGATGTACAGCAGTCTTTAAGCGTAGTATGGCTGAAGGGTTAGGATTTTTATTATTTTATATGTGTGAATATGGATAAATGTTTGATCAGTGTTTGTAAAATGAAATGTGCCCTAATCAGCGTTGGTCATGTGGTGAAAACAGCTCAGTGTCATCTGCATAACGGTGAAGCAGCAGCATGGAGCAACCCACGCCGTCGTGGTTAACGCCAGACGATGGTTGTCATGGCAACAGAACGACTTTTCAGCTCAGACTAATCTGGACGAGAATAAAACTTTTCCAGCGTTACTCTTCTAATATGCTTTGCTGTTGAGTGCAGCTGAGTGCAGCCGGCGTCTGGAGGAACGGGAGGCTCTGATTGGTCAGCTGCAGCGCTGCAAGGCTAACCTTAGTCAGGATACGGAGAACCTGAAGAAGCAAATGGAGGAAGACTGCAAGGTAACACTGAAGCAATCCCCATTGTTCCACCATTAAAAGCAACCAATGAGCAATCTTTGACTCCTAACCGCTGAATGATCACAGTCATGCTTTGTGTTTCTGCCGAAGGCTCGCGTGGCTCTCGCTCACGCCGTACAAGCGTCCCGCCATGACTGCAGTCTGCTGACGGGGCAGCTGGAGGACGAGCAGGAGGCCAAAGCTGAACTGCAGAAGGCCTTATCTAAAGCCAACAGTCAGGTGGTGGAGTGGAGAACCAAGTATGAGACCCAAGCTGTGCTGAAGATAGAGGAGCTGGAGGAAGCAAAGTGAGAGGACACATGCAGACACTGTTACTCTGACCCAACCTGAAAGCAATTCACTGAATGTTCTCAATTTAAGCTAAACGTGAAGAATATTTTATCTCAAGAGTTAAAATAAGGATGAAAATGAATCAATAGTTCAAGTATTTTTATCTCTGACACTCTGGGCGGAACCCGCCACATTGAGTCAGCCGCCCTCCAGCGGGGAATTACCTTGTTCTCTGGATAAGACTGAACTGTCAAACCAGGTTAGGGACTCGTATGGATAATCATCCTCCATCAGATTATCATGGTCCAAACCAGAGTTCCCAGTGCCGCGCTGCAGCCGATGGAGATCCACAGCCCGCTTCAGTAACCAATGTTTTAAATAAACGCTTTAAATTATCCCACTGACTGTCTCGCCTGAATACTGGGTCCTACATATTGAGCTTATAAGAGTTTCCTATCCAGGGTGTTTCCTATCCAGGGTGTTTCCTATCCAGGGCGTTTCCTATCCATGGCGTTTCCTATCCAGGGCGTTTCCTATCCAGGGCGTTTCCTATCCATGGCGTTTCCTATCCAGGGCGTTTCCTATCCAGGGCGTTTCCTATCCAGAGCATTTCCTATCCAGAGCGTTTCCTATCCAGAGCGTTTCCTATCCAGGGCGTTTCCTATCCAGGGCGTTTCCTATCCAGAGCGTTTCCTATCCAGAGCGTTTCCTATCCAGGGCGTTTCCTATCCGGGCGTTTCCTATCCAGGGCGTTTCCTATCCAGGGCGTTTCCTATCCAGAGCGTTTCCTATCCAGGGCGTTTCCTATCCGGGCGTTTCCTATCCAGGGCGTTTCTTTTCAGGGATGTTACCTAAACAGGGCGTTTCCTATCCGGGGCGTTTCCTATCCAGGGCGTTTCCTATCCAGGGCGTTTCCTATCCGGGCGTTTCCTATCCAGGGCGTTTCCTATCCGGGCGTTTCCTATCCAGGGCGTTTCCTATCCGGGCGTTTCCTATCCGGGGCGTTTCTTTTCAGGGATGTTACCTAAACAGGGCGTTTTCTATCCGGGGCGTTTCCTATCCAGGGCGTTTCCTATCCAGAGCGTTTCCTATCCAGGGCGTTTCCTATCCAGGGCGTTTCTTTTCAGGGATGTTACCTTTACAGGCTTTTGTTATTCAGGTTTTAGAGTTGTACTCTATCCAGGCTGTTGCCTACAGACAATCTGCCATTCCATTGCAGACATAAACGGCCATAAATTCACAAACTCAAACCTAAGAACAGACCAGACTTTGTTTTTTCTTGAACTACCTGGACTGAAACGTATGCATGAACGGAGAGAACATTTCAGCTAAAGATAGAGATAAAGATCTGTCCCCAGAACCCAATATGCTAACTTTCTGAGTCTGAAGCCTCCTACTGATACATTTTAAATGATTTTAATGTTTCCAGGAAGAAGTTAGTTGTGAAACTGCAGACTGCTGAAGAAGCGGTGGAGGCCGCTCAGGCTAAATGTTCGTCTCTTGAGAAAACCAAGCAGCGTCTCCAGGCTGACAACGATGACCTCACAGCTCAACTGGAGCGCTCCACTGCTGCAAACCTGGCTCTGGACAAGAAGCAGCGGACCTTTGACAAGGTTAGTCCAGATGTCCGACAGTCTCTGTGACCTGCAGAGGTGGACATGAAGATCAGAGGATCTGTGATTTCTGATGCAGCTGCTGAGTGACTGGAAGATGAAGTTTGAGGAAAGCCAGATGGAGCTGGAGACGTCTCAGAGAGACTCTCGCAGTCTGAGCACAGAGCTCTTCAAACTAAAGAGCAGCTATGAAGAAGCTCTGGACCATCTGGAGACGGTTAAACGAGAAAATAAAAACCTGCAAGGTATCTGCATGACTCTGGGTTTTATGCATCTGGTCTTGTCATGAAAGGACATCAGACACCTAGTTGGGCTCCTGCAGTTCAACCATCATATGGAGATTATCAGTAAATGTTTCTCTCTTGGAAAGATATTGAGTGAAAACAGAATTCCTTCAGGACCAAGAATCAAATTATATCCCAACTGTTTATAATGATTTAACGGGACACCATGTGACTGTCATACGTTGTCCTGTGAACACGACCAACTGTCTTTGGACAACAGATGAAAGGATGAATCGACCTTAAAACATAGTCGAACAGAAAACTCTACACTTAAAGGGCAGCCAGATTCTTTTCCATTGGCTCCTTGATTTTCCGTTATTCCATCATGTTCTACTCTCCCATCTGAGTTTAGTGTCATTTGGAGCCGTTCTGAAGATATTCCGTTAGGTTATATCCAGTAACGTCTTCCTATGGGCAACGACTTGAAGGCACAAACTAAACTGTTCATAATTTATTCTTTATGGTACGCCAGCATTCAGAACATGGAGGCCAATCACTGTCCCCCAGACATCCACCCTTAGATTTTATATATCTTTTAAAAACAAAGCGGCGTGTGTATGACATCATCCGTGCAGTGGACTGTAGTAGTGACAGGCAGGCCGGGCTACAGGCGGCTACGCTCTACCCCTTCTATTCATTCTAGCTCATCTGAATCGTTGATCTGGAGAGCGAGAT